TCCCCAGGTCTTCCCGTCTTCCTAGTGACATGGGGACACAGGGAGACATGGGGCATTGAGACACTGTGACACATAGGTTCACTGGGAGACCTGGGGACACGACACTAGGGGACACTGTGAAACATGGGGCACTGAGACACTGATACATAGGAACACTGAGACCTGGAGTAATCGACACATGGGGGCACTGGGAGACATGGGGCCACTGGGAGGAATCCATCTATACAGCAGAATCAAACTAAGTAGTTTTTTGGGGATTTTACAGCATTTTCTCTTATATCACTCCTTGTGATTTACATCATGTGATGTCACCCATACATATTTAATTATGCAAATTAGCAAGGCCGGTATGTTTTTCCAAGAAAGGTGGCAACCCTAACTACTTTTCACATACCCTTACTTAAGTATGGAAACTTAAGAGGGATGTATGGGAACAAAACTTGTGTGGACTGGCTGACAATGAATATAGTTAAAGGGACACTAGAGTCACCAGAAGAACTACAGCTTATTGAATTTGTTCTGGTGAGTAGAATCATTACCGTCAGGCTTTTTGCTGTAAACACTGTCTTTTCAGAGAAAATGCAGTCTTTACATTACAGCCTAGTGATAACTTCACTGGCCACTCCTTAGATGGCTGTTAGAGATCCTTCCTGGGTCATGGCTGCCTAAAATGCATCCAAACATTCAGTGTCTCCTCCCTCTGCATGCAGACACTGAACTTTCCTCATAGAGATTCATTGATTCAATTTATCTCTATGAGGAGATGCTGATTGGCCAGGGCTGTGTTTGAATCATGCTGGCTCTGCCCCTGATCTGCCTCTTTGTCAGTCTCAGCCAATCCTATGGGAAAGCACTGTAATTGGATTAGGCCATCACTTCTAATGATGTCAGCAGACTGCTTGTTTTTCTGAGTCTAACAGCATGCAGAGTTACAGCTTCAGGCTTGAATACAGTAAGATTTTGCTATATTTATGGAGGTATAAGGGGCCCAGGGGGGCTAGATGGTGGTGTTCATGTTTGTGTTCCTGACCCTATAGTGATCCTTTAAGGTAATGCTGACTTTGGTCTCTCTAATACTGTGGCATGTTCCCTTTCTTCTACACTCACTACCAGGGCCGGCCTTAGGGGTGTGCGAGCTGTGCGACCGCACAGGGCGCCATGGAACAGGGGGCGCCCTGTGGCCGACACAGCTCACTCATGGCCGGAGTGCAGGGGAGCTAAAAGAGGTACCTGGCTGGAGGATTAATTATTCTCCACCCGGGTCTATTTAAAAAAAAAAAAATCGCGGCAGAGGGGGCGGGGTTTACCGAGCGGCGGAGGCGGGGCTTATCGAGAGGCGGAGACGGGCTAATACCTCCCGAAGCCCCTGCTGTACAGGAAGAGGGAAAGATGCTTCCCCATCAGCCAACTGCATCCACTGGAAAGAGGTAAGTGTGTGTGTGTGACTGTTTGCCTGTTTGTGTGACTGTCTGTGTGTGTGTGTGACTGTCTGTCTGTGTGACTGCCTGCCTGTGTGCGTGTGACTGTCTGTCTCTGTGTGTGTGTGTGTGACTGTCTCTGTGTGTGACTGCCTGCCTGTGTGTGACTGTCTGTGTGTGTGACTGTCTGTCTGTGTGACTGCCCATGTATGTGACTGCCTGTGTGTGTGACTGTCTGTGTGACTGTCTGTCTGTGTGACTGCCCGTGTGTGTGACTGCCCGTGTGTGTGACTGCCCGTGTGTGTGACTGCCTGTGTGTGTGAGACTGTCTGTCTGTGTGACTGTCTGTGTGTGTGACTGCCTGTGTGTGTGACTGCCTGTATGTGACTGCCTGCCTGCCTGTGTGTGTCTGTCTGTAACTATCTGTCTGTGTGTGACTGCCCGCCTGTGTGTGTGACTTTCTATCTGTGTGACTGCCTGCCTGTGTGTGTATAACTGTCTATGTGTGTGTTACTGTGTGTCTGTCTGTGTGTGTGACTGCCTATGTGACTGTCTGTCTGTGTGTGTCGCTGTAGTTGTGCCATTGTTTGTGCCTGTGCCTGTATGTGTGACTGCCTTTAACTGAGTGTGTGTGTACATGCCTGTAACCGAGTTTAAATTTCCCCCACCCCTTCCTGTCAAGGCCGCACTTTGACTGACAGACGCTTACTCACTGACAGACGCACACTCACTGACAGACGCATACTCACTGACGACACATACACACTCACTGACGACACATACACACTCACTGACTGACACATACACACTCACTGACTGACACATATACACTCACTGACCAACACACACATTCACTTACAGACACACACAATTACACACTTACAGACACACACACACACACACACACATTCACTTCAAAATAAACACTCACAGACACACACACAGACATTTCCACTCACACTCACAAACTAATATTTTTTACATTTATTTTAAATCCACCCAGCCTCCCTGGGAAAGCTGGAGTGGATTTCTTACCAGCAGTCCAGTGTGGCTGCTGGGCAGGCAGGCAGGGGCGCACAGGCTGAGTAAGCAGCGCTTAGTGATGCCGGGAGCCGGACTGACGTCATATTCTGGCTCCCGGCTTCATTAAGCGGCGCAGAGGAAGCTGAGCAGGAAGAGCTCAGGTGAGTATGCTCCTTCGCTGCCCGCTGCCAGCCTTGGGGGGGCTCAAAAGTGGCCAGCCGGTCAGCTCTTGAGCCCCCAGGATGCGAGGCAAGCAAGGGATCTGCCTGGGGGTTTGGAGGGATGCTTTTTTTTGCCGCCCCCTGCAAAGTGGCGCCCAAGGCAGATGCCTTGTTTGCCTCGTGATACACACGTCCCCGGTGCCTGTGTGTGTTACTGTATTCAGGCAACTTGGTGGGAGGTGGGGGGGGCGCCGTGAAGACTTTTTGCACAGGGCGCCTAATTGCCTAAGGCCGGCCCTGCTCACTACATACAGCTTTTCTCTGTCCCAGACTATATACCAGGAGCTTCTGCCTGCTAGTAAGAAGGTAAGGAGACAAGTGGACCAGCGAGTGCTAGGGGACAGTCCTTAGAAAGCGTTGAGCGAGCGCATCAATAGATGCATTTATGCCAAGCTCAGGGTGCTCTCTGCATAGTATGCCCTTAGTTGGCCAGCTGCATGATTGGCAGGCAGTCTGACATGCATTCATACCAGGCTGGCTTTCTAATTCTTTGAGCAGACATATCCTCTTTTTGGGCATGTTCGCCCCTTTTGGCAGGTTACGTGATTTGTGTCAGTGGCACACCCTTTTACCGTGCCCATTGACTTCCTGCTTGACTGGTCACTGCTGTTAGGGGTTATGGATTTACTTAAAAGATGAAAACTTAAATTAGAGAGAGATTAACCTAGGGTATGTGTTTTCTTATAGCTGCTGTTTTCTTTCTCTCCAGCACCATCTCCATCAGATACATGACGCTTGGGAGTCTTTTACTGTTTTTGGTCGATATGATTCTGTAATTAGGCCCGTCATAATTGTTAGCACCAGGCCCACTGGGCTCTTAATCTGGCCCTGCTTATAGTAAGAGGTATACATGGTTCAGGTAAAGTAATGATATTTGTCAATAATATTTCTGAAGGCATAAAACCAGTGGATTTAATCTTTTGAAAAAGAGTTGTCAAATGAAGTATCAACTCTGATGTAAAAGGTTTATAATAATGGTTTTAAAACCATCAGTACTGGAAGATTTCTAAAGAGGGAGATTAATATCCTCAGATATTGGGATTGTAAAGGATTTTGCCTTTTTTCCAGGAGATATGATAAGGAGTAATATGTTACTGAAAAAAATTGTCCATCAACTGATTCATAGGTTGGAATCCCTCTGGATCATGTTTATATAGATGAGTTATAGTAATGAGCCAATTTATTGACAATCTGAACAGGATTGAATATCTTTGTTCCAAAAGAAGTGATTAAAATTGGACTCTTCGTTTGCATGAATCCAGAATTCAATTTACCTGCTCTATTACCTTGAGTATAAAAAAAAGACAGCCCAATTTTTTTCATATAAAAAGAAGTATGTGGGGGCGGGGCCAGGCCGCCGAGCTGAAAGGAAGCAGAACACCATGGCTCCTGGCCTGAGCCCAGGAAAACTGTAATAAATCCACACTCAGACCACCCCAAAGCAGAAATAATCGACATATAATTAACGAAAAACACCCAAGCTTCATGGGGATACCAAACTGAGGCTGGTTTTGGGCCGGGAACACCGAAAATAAAAAAGCGGCCTACTCACCATCATAAGCCTGGATGATGGCAGCCCCTGAAGATGCACAGATAACTGACAGCCCAGAGATAACGGTATACCAGCTATAATGCCTACATGGGGGCCACACCGTTGCAGATGACGGCCCGGCTCCACTCCCCTCCACCCCCCCGGCCACATGGAAGTGGCACACTCCGGGGCGGAGGAAACCGCGCGGGGTCCCAGCCGACCACCTGAACGGGCAAAGGCTACCGGAAAGGAGCCCGCCCGAAGACTCACTCCAGACACCAAAGGGGTCTGGCATGGGCGGCTCATATGTGCCCTGGTAAAGCCGAGCACTGGACTGATCCTCCATGCTGTTTCATGGCTGCTGGAGAGTGGGCGCCCGAGCCTCTGGGTTTGTGGGGTCCCTGGAGAGACCTGTCCCCGAAGCAGTGAGACCTGTGGGGTGGGACCACGCTATCCTCCCGACGGACCAGTGGTCGTGGGGGATGGGCACCGGATCCAAATGTGTGGCCGGCACTGGGTGAGACATTGGAACGCACACTTCAAGGGACTCACGTGGAGCTGGGGGGTGCAGGGAGCGGATTTTGTGGTGGGGTCAAACGGACAGTTTGTGCTCCTGAGTGCCCAGAGTGTCACGGGGTGCCCAAAGGGTGAGCGGATATCGGCATGGGGAAGACGGAAGGAGGCCTGCCGACCCAGGGACAGCGTGGTAGCAGTGCCATGAGAGACTCCCCTCAGACGGCCATGTAGACTAACATGGCCACCCTGCAGTTTACAGTTCACATTTTTTATTTCTACGTTTGCATCTACTCTATAGTTAGTTAGCATATATACCCATGTACTTAAAGACTTTAGGGAACGCTAGGTTATTCAGTTAAGCTTATGCACTACTGTTAGTTGCCCTCAAATCATAAGCATTCTCTAATTCCACAAGTCAGAATTATACTAGACTAGGCGGTAATAACTTACATAATGTAATGCGTTTGTTTATATGCTCTTTTTGGTCGTAAATATGCAAGGTAATATAGATTGATGAGCATCTGACCAGGCAGCAAGGACAATATGTTTTTAATTTACTACCATAAGCTTTTCTTGTTAGCATATTACCACATTAACCCCTTCAGGACGGAGTCAATAGTGCACGTTCTGATCAAAACAAAACGTAAACAAAATCTGGCATTTGCGCTATATGTCTGTTCAACCGTTATTCACCGCTGTCACATTAAGTGCACCCACACTTATTATATATCATTTTGTTCAGGAGATTTAATTTAAGAGATTACTTTATCACTAACTATTCATATATGGAACATAATTTATTATGAGTAAAATTTAAAAAAATGTGAGAAAATAAGATTTTTTTTTTAAATTTGTATTTCCGTCTGTCATTTTAGCTGTTAATGTTATAATACGGTTAGGTTTTACTGCAAAAAAATGCACATATTGGTAATCAGCGATGTCTCACGAGTACAACATTCCCCCCATTAACAGGTTTTATGGTGTTTTGGAAAGTTACAGGGTCAAATATAGAACGTTCCATTTTCAAATTGAAATTTGCAAGAATAGTAATGTTACCTTTGAGACGGTGTGGTAGCCCAGGAATGAGAATTACCCCCATAATGGAATACCATTTGAAAATGTAGACAACCCAAGGTATTGAAAGTGGGGTATGTTTAGTCTTTTTTAGTAGCCACTTAGTCACAAACACTGGCCAAAGTTAGCGTTCATATTTTTTCTTTGTGTGAAAAAAAGCAAAAAACTAATATTTGGCCAGTGTTTGTGACTAAGTGGCTACTAAGAAAGACTGGACATACCCCACTTACAATACCTCGGGTTGTCTACTTTTGCAAATGGTATGCCATCATGGGGGTAATTCTCATTCCTAGGCTACCATACGCTCTCAAAGGCAACATAACCAATCTGGCAAATTTCAATGTCAAAAAAATGAAATGCAAGCCTTATATGTGACTCTCTAACTTTCCAAAACACCATAAAACCTGTACATGGGGGATACTGTTATTCTCAGGAGACTTCACTAAACACAAATATTAGTGTTTTAAAACAGTAAAAAATATTACAACAATAATATAGTCCATAAAAGTGCAGTTCGTTTGTAAAAAAATGCAAAAAACTTCACTTTTACTTAAAATATCATTGTTGTAATACAATTTACCAGTTTAAAACACTAATATTTAAGTTCAGCGAAGTCTCCCGAGTAAAACAGTACCCCCTATGTACAGGTTTTATGGTGTCTTGGAGAGTTACAGGGTCAAATATAGTGCTTGCGAATTAAATTCTCTGCTCTTTCTCCCTGTGCTGTCAGACATGTCAATCAAATTTAAATTAATCAAATCACATAATTATGTTAAAAGATTACTTACATATACATGTAGAATTTTAATATATATGCATTTATAGGTATTTAAATTCTACGGGTATACTAATGTAATCTTTTATGTAATTATTTATCTATATATATATACATATATATATATATTTGCTGTTATTTGTATTTTATATATATATAGAATGTCATTCTAAGTGTAATTTGTTACCAATATATATATATATACTAATTACAAAATACAGTTAGAATGAAATTACATATGTATATATAATTTATTTTAATTTAAAAAAAAATATTTTATTTATTTTATTATTTTATTTATTTATTATTGTAATTATACGTATATATATATATATATATATATATATATATAATATATGTGTATATATCTATTATATATATTTATATATAATATATATACATATTATATATATGTAACATCATTCTAAGTGTATTTTAATACTAATATATGTACTTATATTAATATTAAAATACACTTTGTATGACGTTACATATATATAATATGTAAATGTAGAAAGGCCATTAGGCCTGAATTTGTGGGAGGAGTAAGTCCCCTACTTAAACTCCCAGCCCCTACTCACCTCTGCCGGTTTAGTTGATTGTCTATCTCCATAGCAACCAGCACTTCCGATCCGAGCTTCCCGCCAAACGGCTCCAGTCTCCTGCAGTAAGAGGTGTCCAGTGGAATCCTCCGTCCGTCCTGCAGCCCTGCCACCAGCTGTCCTACAGCCCTGTTCTTCTCGGCCGCGGTACTTTGTTTCCGGTCACGAGACCGGCATGCTCACGTAAGCTTGTGAGGGAAATAGCGTTCGGCTATTTCCCTCTGTTCGGGCCTAAAAACGTAGGGGTAGGCTCCCTTTTACTATAACATTATCAATTTTCGTATACTTACCTATTCGTGGATTTCCGCGTTCGCGCTACTAAACTAGACGAATGCTTGCTATACTTACGTTGCTTTTGCACGATCTAAACTGCCGAACTACGTACGAACATAACTCTAAGGCTGATCTTTTCAATTCTGTTTTCCGTTTGGTCATACGCAGGAACCATGTACTTATTACTTACCCGTTCGGGTATTTTAAGCGAATTGTGTAAACCTGTTCACCCCTCGCTAACTTTCCTGATTCATGCTATTGCTATTCAGCGGGAGTAAACGAACGCACATTATACTTAACCTAAGCAGGTCCCCCGTTAGGCTAAAACTACCGATCCCCTTTCAGTATAATACAAACATTTCGTGCACACGAATTCATATGATTACTCATACTGTCTGTTCGGTTATTTAACTGTTTGTACTACCTGTCAGTAGGAGTTATTAAATACATGTTAAAAACCACAACTATTTATCACCTAAACTGTGTTTCCCAGTTAACTATGTCTAAAATATTAAAACCATAGCCACTGTATCTTAATAATCAGTTCTTTTTTCAACACCCATTTGGTTAGTAATCTATGTTTTACGTTCCTTTATCAAATAAAATAAATTCCTCCTGACACCAAACAAAGAGCAGAATTCTATAAATTCCACAACAACCCTGTTCAAACACAACATACATATATTATTATTACAAGATCTCCTAGGGTAACACTGGTAAAACCCCTAAAATTTTATTTTAATTTACTACGTTTTCTCCTTAAAGTTACGCAGTCATTAATCCTGCCCCTGTCACATTTCTTTGGCTCCACTGATTGCCTCGGTCTCTCTTATTTCTGTTTAAAGTTAGCAAATTCAAGGTCTTGTATTTACAAACCCAGGTATAGTATTCACTCACCATGCTTTCAATCATGTCCATGCCTCAATACTGCATGCACTCTAAACTTATCACAGTGAAATTGGTTATTTATAGCTTACTATCACAGCATTCACAAATTATTAAATATTTAATGGGTTTAAGTCATAGCTCCTGAATTTTTCTAGGCCTCCACCGGTTTCTACGAAGGAACACCAGTTACGCTCATCCTAGTACCCGTATAACAAATCAAGGTATATTTCTCTACTCATTACAGGACTTTTTTCATACAAGACCTAACGCGGTCTCGATTCATTACAACTAACTCTAGGTCCTATGTCCTTGGTGTGTTAAATTTTCTCCTTTTTTCTTAACCAGAAATACGGTCATACTGCCATCAGGCAAGAAATTACCAACCTACCTAACCCGGTACTCAGCCACACTACCAGGTACTTACGTCCTTATTCATTACGGCATTCACTACCCCAAGGGCTCAATCAGCCTCTCTCTATAACGTAAACTCGCCTCAGTCATAGTCTAACCATTCAGATCCCTCACTTCAGGATCTCACGTCGCGCTCCTATCAGCCAACCCTTACCACAAATCATACGCCACCATGTTACGCTTAAATACATCAACATCTGTCTTAATCCTTAGGCTTCTTCTACGAGGACAGCAGCAGCCAAGACTCGCTACATATAAACATTCGAAGGTTCCAGTTCTCTATTATAAACCCTTCAAGGTTAGTATCCACACATTACACCAGAATTACCATTCAACCTTTAGTATACAAGTGAACTGGCTTGCAGGGTCTAGGCTTCCGCCCTAGCTCACCCTAGTAAAAAATCCCGTCCAGCGAGGCCATCTCCCACCTCAACACAGGGGTACGGCCCCACGCCCAAATCATAGTTATATGCCTCGCCCGCTGTAGTCAGGGCCTCACCTGTCACGGCCACACGTTTTGAATCTCTTTACAGTCACCGAGAGGCCAACAACCCGCCACGACGTCTGTGGCCACGATTTCTCTAAACCAAATCATAGGTAGAGCCTCATCTATCAAAAATTCACAGTTAAGTTTTTCGCTTCGGCATTAGCATTACAGGCCAGTTCATAAAATACCCCCCTCATATCCCTCCCAGTTCCCCTACTCACCTTCTAATATCTCATTCACTGAATCATTTTTAGAATGTCTCAAGAACCAGCCCCCATCAAAGAGTTGCCCGAGGAGATCCCGTTTACGCCCATCAGACCAGAGTCTCCATGCGAATCTCTCACCCCCTCAACTCCCACGTCCTTGAGAGCATGGACTATCCCTAAAATTACGGCCGAACTTAGGCTCAGGGGAATCCCCTTTCCAGCTACAGCTAGAAAGGCGGAACTCTACAGACTGTTCACCTACCAAGCCCCTGAACTTAGGCCAGGCACTAGCTCTCAAGCATGGACTATCCCTAAAATTACGGCCAACTTAGGCTCGGAATTTTCCAGCTACAGCTAGAAAGGCGGAACTCTACAGACTGCTCACCTACCAAGCCCTGAACC